TAGCGAGAGGCTAGCAGTAGAGAAGCTAACAGAGTGTATAGTGACAGGCTAGCAGTAGAGAAGCTAACAGAGTGTATAGTGACAGGTTAGCAGTGGAGAAGCTCGCAGAGTGTATAGCGAGAGGCTAGCAGTAGAGAACCTGGCAGAGTGTATAGTGACAGGCTAGCAGTAGAGAAGCTAACAGAGTGTATAGTGACAGGTTAGCAGTGGAGAAGCTCGCAGAGTGTATAGTGACAGGCTAGCAGTGGAGAAGCTAGCAGAGTGTGTAGTGACAGGCTAGCAGTGGAGAAGCTAACAGAGTGTATAGTGACAGGCTAGCAGTGGAGAGGCTAACAGAGTGTATAGTGACAGGCTAGCAGTGGAGAAGCTAACAGAGTGTATAGTGACAGGCTAGCAGTAGAGAAGCTTGCAGAGTGTATAGTGACAGGCTAGCAGTGGAGAAGCTAACAGAGTGTATAGTGACAGGCTAGCAGTGGAGAAGCTAACAGAGTGTATAGTGACAGGCTAGCAGTAGAGAAGCTGGCAGAGTGTATAGTGACAGGCTAGCAGTAGAGAAGCTAGCAGAGTGTATAGTGAGAGGCTAGCAGTGGAGAAGCTAGCAGAGTGTATAGGGACAGGCTAGCAGTGGAGAAGCTAGCAGAGTGTATAGGGACAGGCTAGCAGTAGAGAAGCTAACAGTGTATAGTGACAGGCTAGCAGTGGAGAAGCTAGCAGAGTGTATAGTGAGAGGCTAGCAGTGGAGAAGCTAACAGAGTGTATGGTGACAGGCTAGCAGTAGAGAAGCTGGCAGAGTGTATAGTGACAGGCTAGCAGTGGAGAAGCTAGCAGAGTGTATAGTGACAGGCTAGCAGTGGAGAGGCTAACAGAGTGTATAGCGACAGGCTAGCAGTGGAGAAGCTAGCAGAGTGTATAGTGACAGGCTAGCAGTAGAGAAGCTAGCAGAGTGTATAGTGACAGGCTAGCAGTGGAGAGGCTAACAGAGTGTATAGCGACAGGCTAGCAGTGGAGAAGCTAGCAGAGTGTATAGTGACAGGCTAGCAGTGGAGAGGCTAGCAGAGTGTATAGTGACAGGCTAGCAGTGGAGAAGCTAGCAGAGTGTATAGTGACAGGCTAGCAGTGGAGAGGCTAACAATGTATAGTGACAGGCTAGCAGTGGAGAAGCTAGTAGAGTGTATAGCGACAGGCTAGCAGTGGAGAAGCTAGCAGAGTGTATAGTGACAGGCTAGCAGTGGAGAAACTAACAGAGTGTATAGTGACAGGCTAGCAGTAGAGAAGCTAACAGTGTGTATAGTGACAGGCTAGCAGTGGAGAAGCTAACAGAGTGTATAGTGACAGGCTAGCAGTAGAGAATCTAGCAGAGTGTACAGTGACAGGCTAGCAGTGGAGAAGCTAGGAGAGTGTATAGTGACAGGCTAGCAGTGGAGAAGCTAACAGAGTGTATAGTGACAGGCTAGCAGTGGAGAAGCTAACAGAGTGTATAGTGACAGGCTAGCAGTAGAGAAGCTAACAGAGTGTATAGTGACAGACTAGCAGTGGAGAAGCTAACAGAGTGTATAGTGATAGGCTAGCAGTAGAGAAGCTAACAGAGTGTATAGTGACAGGCTAGCAGTGGAGAAGCTAGCAGAGTGTATAGTGACAGGCTAGCAGTGGAGAAGCTGGCAGAGGGCAACGTAGCAGGCTAGCAGTTGAGAGAGAGAGAGCGAGCGGAGCGTGGCAGACGAGCAACACACGAGGAGGAGTTGTGACGGAGGCGCGTGGTGTGGAACGCGAGGAGTTCTGTATGAATGAAGTGACACAGGAGAAAATAAGTTGTCCGTGTGAAATAACACCACGACATCTGTGTGTGTGTGTGCAGTATACCTGTAGCAAACCTGGCAGCCCTGCGGGGTCCACGTGCTTACTGTGGGGTGGATTCTTTTTTCAGATGGGTCTCCTACAACACAATTTTGTTTTACTCTTTAAAGAGCTCGGTGTGATATATATATTTTTTAAATCCGATGTTCCCCAAAACACCCGTTGGCCAGGATTTATGACTGAAGAAACACACGAGGAAGGTGACAGCCGCCCTCAACACTTATCTGGCTTTGCACGGTTCGCGTATGTGTCTGCGTATGTTGGAATTCTTTCGCACCACACGTTACGCACCGTGATAATCAAGAGATGTGCGGGAAGGACAACACATTAAACACAAAAATCAGTTCTTAAGAAATTAGCTTTCAGTCTACACTGCGAGTGTGATGATTATCGTAGTTTGTTCCTCATTCTATCGATATTGCAAGTGCGGTTATCGCCATTTACTGTATATCGATTGTATTGTGTTAATACTTACGAGTTTATGGGGTTTTTGCTGCCGTTGTACAGCGCTTTGGGATTTTGTTAAAGTCGCTTTTCATTATAATTATTAACCCCGCTTTGATCACAGGACAGACAACTGTGTCACATTCCAACACAGGAACTCGGCAGAACCGGGTCTGCCCCTTGTGCCACCTTGTCACGAGGTTACGTTCCAGGCTTCAAGTTAACTTTTGTGTTTAGCCAGGCGACAGGGGAGAACGGCGAGATTCCAGGATCGAGTCTCATTTGCAAGAGGGGGGGGGGGGTCTGTGGTCATTCGTCGGGTTGGGGGGGGGAGGCGTTTGGGGGCGATGATTGCCGCTGCGTTATCCCACTTGGGTAATTTGCGGTGTAATACTTAAATTATATCGAATGTGCACATGGCATGGGGGTTAAATAAAGAGACAACGGAGTTCCGTACGCTCCCGCCTGGGAAAATAAATTACATTGTCCAATCACTTCTTTGTGTATACAGTACATGTGTAAAGACTGTGTCAGTAAGTCTCGAGGTGAAGACAGGATGTCAGCGAGACTGGATGCAAAGAGAAGGCACCAGCAAGTCTGGAGGATCTTGGTTTGGGAAATTCCCCCAGAGTGTCCAAAATAGACGGCTGGGGAAATTCCCCCGGAGAATCCACGAGAATAAAAGCCAGGGCAAGAAGGGAATTTCGGGGCTGTCGAGAGAGGAACTCGGGCCATCGTCGCTGTCTTCACGTCGTCCCTGTCTGCTCGGTCACGCGATCTCCACGTCGGCATTATCTCGTGACTACGTGGTCCTAAGCCACGTTACGTGCAATAAAATAAACCTCTAATAGTTCGAGTCAGGAGTCGTTACACGTAAAATATCAGCTTATTAACGAATGTGTAACATTGTTTGTGTGAAGTACATTTACTTGATATTTTACGTGATATTTAATTTTTACTGAACAGAAATTATATGACGATATAAATCACAGTAGACGTATTCATACTTTACAGCTCCCTGTCTATCCACTGCTGGATGAAGGCCTTCCTACACCAATGTGCCGGTCATGGTTGGCTACGTATGGTGCGAAAAAAGTTAATCCTTCACCACGCTGATCAGTGCTGGTTTACTGAAGTGGGCAGAGGAGGGCCCAGGGCAAGGTTCAGACATCACTCGCCACTGATGTTAGCCGTGGCTAGGAAACTCGAACTCAGGTCGCCGGCTTCTTTGCGAAGCGTGCTAACCACTACGCCAACCACTGCGCTCACACGCAGTGCTGCACTCGTACATGAGGTCGGTCATGTGAAGGCTTGTTAGTTGATATACAGGCAGTCCCCCCCCCCCCCCGACGTATGAACGCCTGACTTACGAACATCCGCACTTACCGCACTTACGAATGAGCTTCCATAAAACATGTATTTTTTTAACCATCCGACTTACGAACATCCGCACTTAAAAACGAGCTTCCCGAACATATTTCTTTTTCACCATCTGACTTACGAACGCCCGACTCACGAACAATCCTTACTTATGAACAAGCTTCCGTAAGATATATATATATTTTTTTAACCACCCGACTTGCGAATGCAAACTCGCACTTGCGAACGGAACCGCAGAAACTATTTACAGCGTCAAATGCAAATGTACATTTCTTCTTAATCGTGAGTTTTGGTTTAACCTCAGCACATTTTATGACACTGACTGTATTGTGCATTTTAAACACAGTACATTATTGTGTTCCGACTTACGAACCGTTCCACTTACGAACGGATCTCGTATAAAGTACATATTTCACCAGAACTTATACACACAACGTAGGAGTATAAATAGAAAAAAAAACACATAAAAGACAACCTGAGGTTATACATGATACAAAAACTCCTCATGTACAGAACATTTGTTCCATCCACTGCTGTATGAGGGCCTCCCAACAGCACACAGGTCACAGAGGTTATTTGACCATGCTTCACCATTCTGGTTTAGTGTGCAATGTATTTGGCTGCGCTCCTGCCCTCTACAGCTCACAATGCAGCCTCAAAGCAGCCTATAACACCCTTTCATGCGTGGTTGTCGCCCATCCAAGCACTACCCAGGCTCAAACCTGCTTAGCTTGAGATCCGATGAGGCCTGTGCATCTTCTGGGTGATTTGGTCACATCAAGCCTATTTAGCGTTTTCATTGCATGGCAATGAAAACATATATATATACATTGCATGGCAATGAAAACAAATATATACACACGTTTGTTAATTCTCAGAGCTGGAATGATACGAATTTAAAAGAGTTTAACCAAATACGTCATTTTTTTGTGTAGTCTTTGGCGACTGGACAGAAACTATAGACTCTCACTAAGCCTGAGTCAGGATTGAAGAAATTCCCATTGTGAATGCTCTCAGCTAGCAGTGCACCACCCTGGGGGGGAACTTTGTAATTCCTTGCAGCAGGGCCTCTGTCTACGGGAACCTGTGGCTCCACTATCGTCGGTGACGCGGCCGTCAAGCGTGCAGACGGTGCAACTGCGCCGGCTGCGTACTGCGCGTGGGCTGGATAGAGGGGCCCGCATGGTGGGCTACGAAGAGAGGAGCAAAAACTGGAGCGGGAGGTCACGTGCCCCTACGATCTTCCTCTCCGCTAGTTCTCTCACATCAGTCGCAATATTCGCCGTCCACTTCATAGGGGTTCGCGGGGGGGTCGCAGGAGGTCACTCCTCGTTGTCCTGCTCCAGCCGCAGGAGCGCTTGCAGGCGCTCCCGCAGCACCGAGAAGCACGGCCTCGCCTCCTCTTGCTCGCTCCAGCACTCCACCATGGTGGCGTAGACGGGCGAGGGGCACCGCGCCGGCTGCGGGAGGCGGTACCCGCACAGCACGGCCACCTGCACGTCCCGGTTGTTGCGAATGTCTGCACGGAGAGGCGCAAGAAGAGGAGGATGAAGCAGGTGGGTCTGTTAGTCTGTCACTGTCTAGAGACCCCATACAGAGACCCGTCTATCTGTCATTCTGTCATTGTCTAGAGACCCCATCAGAGACCAGTCTGTCTTTGTGTCACTGTTTAGAGACCCCATCAGAGACCGGTCTGTATTTGTGTTACTGTCTAGAGACCCCATACAGAGACCCGTCTATCTGTCATTCTGTCATTGTCTAGAGACCCCATTAGAGACCGGTCTGTCTTTGTGTCACTGTTTAGAGACACTGTCAGAGACCGGTCTGTCTGTTACTGTCTAGAGACCCCATCAGAGACCAGTCTGTCTGTCACTGTCTAGAGACCCCATCAGAGACCGGTCTGTCTGTGACTGTCTAGAGACCCCACCAGAGACCAGTCTGTCTGTCATTGTCTAGACACCCCATCAGAGACCGGTCTGTCTGTCATTGTCTAGACACCCCATCAGAGACCAGTCAGCCTGTCACTGTCTAGAGACCCCATCAGAGGCCAGTCAGCCTGTCACTGTCTAGAGACCCCATCAGAGGCCAGTCAGCCTGTCACTGTCTAGAGACCCCATCAGAGGCCAGTCAGCCTGTCACTGTCTAGAGCAGGGGTCGACTTATAAGACTTATCATGTTAAGAAATGTCGGCTAAGATTTATTTGCGAGCCAGATGCAGTCATCAAAAGAGCCACATCTGGCTCGCGAGCCATAGGTTGCCGACCCCTGGCCTAGAGGCTCTGTCGGTGCTTACGTGAGTAGGGACGCTGTCCGAAGGTGAAGATCTCGTAAAGCAGCACGCCGAAAGACCACACGTCGGACTTGGTGGTGAAGCATTGGCCGGTGAGGCCCTCTGGGGCCGTCCAGCGCGTGGGGATCTTCCCCATCGGTGAGCTCTGGGCCTGGCGGGGGTGGGGGCAGCGCCATCGATGATGACGACGATGATGTCATCAGTCACGTCATTAACGCAATACCGCACGTGGGTTTTTTTCCGCAGCTGTTATTTTTCAGATTCGTTATTGATTTTAGGCGAGGTAGTTGTGATCTCGACAATTTTGTGTCGCGATATTCACATGCATTGCGGCTCATGAAATATTGAGGGGTTTTTTTTTGCCACATGTTATTTTGGTTTCGGACCCCTTCCCTAGGTGAACTCAGCCTACACTCATCCCATCAAATTCTATGTTATCTATAAGATAACTTTTTGCTGGGTACACAAATCCTAACAATGTAAAAATACCACACCACGTACATACGGAAATGTACATGCATTTTCCGACGTTGACGTCAACAAAAAACATTCGCCTCACCACCCCCCAGTAAAGTTGATATGATCTTACAGGAAATGTATCGCGACTCAGCGGTTTTGTCGGTTAATCTTCCTCACTAATCACAAACACACAAAGCTAGAATGTGGCTTCGTGAGTCCCAAGATGCGTATCGTTCCGCTGCGACCTATGGGTCGGACACATTGCCCGTTGACAAAGAAAACGGAACGAAAGCTGAAAAGTCTTGCAAAGAAGCAACGGGAAAGGTGCGCACTTGTAAATGTACCGAGAGGCAGGAGCGGCGCGGCACAGATCACAGAACATACACGGGTGAGGGGCGTCACATCGAGTGTGGAGACATCGTCGCGATTGGTCCTGCTCAGGGAGTTGAATTTCGAGGATGGACGATGGTTGGTGGTCGAGAATGGTAATGGAGCTGCAGCTGAAGTTGGGAAATGTGCCCCAAGAGGACACCCACCGTGGAGATGGAGCGACGGGATGGCCTCGTTCACACGGGCTATACGGATTGGTACGCGGCGTTACACCTGAACCGGCCTGGGCCTCTCCCTTCATCAACTTGCAGCTGGGCCTTAGTTCCACCCCTTCACCCAGCCCCCTCACGTACCCCCCCCCCACTCCCCCCATTTGGAAAATGGCAGCAGCGCGTGTGTAAAATGATGGTAACTTTTCTAAAATGGCGGAAACATGCATGTAAAATGGCGGCAACGCGAGTGCAGAATGGTGGCAAAGCGCACGTGTGCGAGAGCGAGCGAGAAGTCGCCGATGCAGCAGCGCAGCGAAGCATCGACGAGCACGTTCCTCGCGGCGAGGTCACGATGCACGAACCCCCGCGCCGCCAGGTACTCCATCCCGCTCGACACCTGTGCACCCAGGTGCAGCAGCTCGCACAGGTGCAGCCCACGGCCTTCCTCACCTGCCAGGGACAAGGGCAATGGTGGGGGCGCAGAGGTCACAGGCGATGGGTCAATCAATTAAACTATTTTACGTTTAGAGGTTGAACGTTAGGAGTCATGATTCCGTTATAGTTAGGATTGTAATGAAGATATCACAAATGTTTTTTTGGTCTTCTTGTTTACACGTATCGCAACTGCGATATCCAGGTTGTTGTATGCTGTGGTGGCGCTATGTTGAGGGCGGTGCAGTAAATTCCAATGATCTGCTGTACATCTGTGCTCCCACGGTTTTGTCGGTACATGTTGGTGATATCCAAATTTGCCAAATGAGAGAGAATCATCGTCATCTGGACCAATCAGTTTCAAGGACAATGCATATATTATCATAGTATGTTTTTTGTTTGCATTTTGACTGCAGGTATTGTGGTTAATGCAGACATGAATCCTTGTAAAAAGGTTTCAGTTTTGTTGCCAGAAAAAAGGGGGGAAAACCCTATTATGAGGGAGAATCACTCGCAAGCTACTTAATTGAATGCTTGGCAGGACCCTCCTGAAAAATAGTCTCGACACTCAGTAAGGCTTTTCTGGGTAAACAAGTGAAACAATCTTCTTTGGTTCTTTCGGTAAAGTCACGTAGAATGAGAATAAAATAATAAATTGATAAAATAAAATAACACAATAATATTCTCGCGACGTTTCGGCCACAACACAAGCGGCCTTCATCAGGTGAAGGGAGCGAGACTGTCTGGTAGGACAGCACTCACTCCAGCACTCACTCCAGTGCTGTCCTACCAGACAGTCTCGCTCCCTTCACCTGATGAAGGCCGCTTGTGTTGTGGCCGAAACGTCGTGAGAATATTATTGTGTTATTTTATTTTATCAATTTATTATTTTATTCTCATTCTACGTGACTTTACCGAAAGAACCAAAGAAGATGAATCATTGCAGTCACGAAAGCTTTAAATCGAAATTTAAGTGAAACAATATCCACGTCGCGTCACGGGACAAGGAATCCGTTCAAAACTCTCGCAGGACAGAGCATCGCCCCCGGTGCTGTGGAAGCGGATATCACAGAACTGCTTTTGAGATCCCCTTGAAGTAAAAATAAATCACATTTTATAAAGTGCCTTTCTACAAGGTACTCAAGGTGTTGTTGACTTCACATACGACCCCCGTATGGGTGACCATCCGGCAGGCTTCGTTCCGCAATGGCCGGTGTCCTGCGTGTTTCTTTGGACGCGGCTCTCCGTACGACGGTTGTCCCGGGCCTTCTGTTGTGGCTGTGGAACGGCCAGCCAACTAGCGCTGTTCATGATTCGGATACCATGGTGATGTCTAAACCACCTGCCTAAATACACCCGATTCTCTCTTGCTTTCACTTCTCTGGCTTGGTTTATTCTCTCCATCTTCTTCATTGTTTCTCCCCAAGGCTGATGGTATATATATATTTTCATGATGTACCTTGAAATAACCGCTTATCCACACGAAGAGGCAACACTTGCCACAACCTTCCGTGCTCCGGACGGAAATGTTCATCGCGTTGGTAGTTAAACCAACATTCTCAATTCTCAGAGCTGGAATTCAGCCGAATTTGGTACTGGTGTTTTTTTTAATGTGTGCGTGCAGTCATTGTTGGCCGAGTTGAGACCGTCAAGGAGCTGAACCTTTCCAAACTGGCTGATTTAGTCCCAGCCGCCCCCATGAACTTCGTCCTCCCAGTGCAAATTACAACGGGCAATTCCCCCGACTCGCCACCCACGCAGGCTCGACCTTCACTTCACGCTCCCGTCAATGATTGCCCCCAAGTAGTTCGCGGGGTTAGAATTTACAAGCTGGGCGAGAGCGTGGCCATTAAGCGAGTCTCAATGTGAAAACACGTCCAATAAATCCGCGCGTTACACGTGGCGTTCATGCCATAGTCCAGCGCTACCATGAAAGGCGCTACGTTTCACATAGTCTGCAGTAACATTTTACACGTTAGCTTCCGTGGCCAATAGTATTGCAGTGGTCCCTCAGTTTACGATGCCATCGATTAATGAGATTTTGATTAACCATCCTCCTCCCATACGGTTCTATTGTTTCGATTTACGAATTTTTTTCGATCAACGATGTTTACGATATGACGCGGCCGCAAATTTTCGCCAATCGGAGGGCTCCTCAGTGGACTCAGCAGACCTCAGCCAATCAGTGACCCGCTCTTAATGTGAGCGTTTTGAGAGCAACTTTTTCTGGTGAAAAAGGTCAACTTCTGATCGTCTTGGAACAAATTCAGCCTTTAACATGTATTTCCTACATTCGATTGAAGATAACTTCAATTAACGATGGTTTTCGTAGAACCAATTAATATCATTAACCGAGGGACCAGTGTATTCGTAATTAATCTTTTTCAGGGTGGGGGGGGGGGGGTTCAGATCGACCGGTGTGTAAAATGCGTTTCGTACACCCTCCTGCACATGATACAGCCGATTAATAAAGTTGTGACGTGCTACAAAGAAAGTGCCAATGAATTTACTGCTTCAGCGGCATATTCCGTGTTGCTGCCGGACAGCGATCCACAACAACATTTTAACCAATGACGCACGGACCTTTCGCCGGTAGTTACGCACACGGTCTGACCCTGTAATCAATCACTCGATCATGATTCACGCAGTCGGCAGTAGTTTCGCAAATAGGAAATAGGGAGGGGCAATGTTTGCTATGCATCGTTTTTCCAATTTACGTATCTTGGGAGAGTAATTTTTGCAGATCTGAATAATATATATTTCTTGCGGAACCCTGACGCCGACACACACACACACAAAGAACGTCACGACAACCTTGACCGCCGCTGTGAATACACACTGCAGTAGTAACCGGGTCGTCCGTCGGGTTCGAACCACGAACCTCACCCTGCGCTCCCTCCACAACGACGACTAATAAAAGCGTGTGTCTCCCGCGCTAACATTTATAAGCTTGCCAAATCCACTTTCTCGAGCGGGTCTCTTGCAAGGTGACCACGTCACGTTAGCGCAAGCTGAACTTCTTTTGCACCGTACTTAGCCAACCGCGCGTATCGGAGGTTGCGGGGTGGGGTGCGGGGGAAGGACTTCAAACTAAGCACAAAAAGGGGTTCAGGCACCAGGAAAAGCTATTGGCCCAGACACAACTGGTTGCGGTAACGTGGGTAGAGCCGTAATCCCAATGACCTGGGTTTACGTTCCTTTTTGTATTTGCATCATGCACACCAACTGCTGGTCTGCTCGGTTGCCTCATTTTTAATTTAGCACCGTCCGGATTGAGCAAGCCTATGAAGTGAGGCTCTTCACAGATTTGCACATCGCACCCAATGTGTACATATGTGTAACGTCATTTATGAGCTCGGCGAGCCAATCCAACAAATCGCGTCTCAGACGTGCAGATCACGATAATTGCAGGTGCGTCTGGCACTACCTGCAGAGCAGTGGTGCAGTGGCTATCGCAGTGCATTGCGAACCTGACCGCCCGAGTTCGATTCCCCGCTTACGACCAAAAAACAGTGGAGAATAATTCAACTGGTCGTGGACCTCCCCTAGGTCGGCTCAGCTTTAACTGAGTACCTGGTACACTAGCACAAATGCGACCAGGCGTGGTGTATTGGTCACACAACCCCATTGTGTGCCATTCCGGGCTTCAAACGTGCATTCTCACATCATTTTCCACAATATCCTGGTAAAGGCTACATGGGGGATCTTTGTCTTTTTCATTATTTAAGACTATGGTTCGTTGTAGCATAGTGGTTAGCGCCGTAGACGACCCAAATTCGACTCCTGACCGCGGCTCACATCAGTAGTTATCATTTGAACTGGCAACTGGGCCTTCCCTAAATCGACTCGGCCCTAAATGAGTACCTGGTACCACGTGCAAGCACCAGAACTTGGGGAGACAAAGGCAGCAGCCGAGCGTGGTGCTGGCCATAGGCGCTTTCGTAGGCGTGACCTTCACAGGAGCCCCTAGCAGTCAGTGTAGGCTACGCGGGGGATATTTGCCTTGTGATGCCGCCACTGTTAGGTTAGGGCGCGGCGTACCGGCCGGCAAGCCTGTACGGACCATGAGCTTTGTGGAAGATCAAACCCAGGGATATTCTTGGGTGTGACCTTCCACGAAGCTGATGGTCCACCCTCAGTCCCATCCAGCGCACAAACCGTGGCAGCTGCCGATACCTGATGATGCACAAATGGAAAATGAGAAACTCTCCGGGAGTGCGCAACTGAGGTCATGCAGAACCGGACCGTAAAACGTAAAACGAAGCAGTGCCCCGAACCGCTTTGCTCCGAACGCGGTCGTCTGCTGCCTGTGACCACCCGAATGTGAGACTGCGGTCGTTCCTCTGCACCTACATCGGCCGTACGAGAGACTAATAAGAAGGAGAAGAGACGTACTGCGCAGGAAGGCCTGCAGGTCGCCGCGCATGAGCTCCGTGATGAGCGAGACGTGGCCCTCGTGGACGCACACTGCGTACAGGCGCAGCAGGTTCTCGTGCGACAGCGTCTTCATGATCTGCGCCTCCCTGTGCAGCTCCTCCACCGGCAGGCCTGTCGCGCGAAGACAAAGATCCACCCGTAGAGCTTTAACGGACTGTTGGGGCAAGTGCTGTTAGCGAGCACCTATGAAGGCTGCAACGGCACACGAGGGGGTGGGTGGCCAACACACATAGACATCTAAGACACACACAAGCAAACACCTAACACGCACAAAGACCCCCCCCCCCCCCCCCCCGTATAGCCTTAACAGACTCTTGGGACAAGTGCTGTTAGCGAGGAGCAGCACCTAGGAAGGCCGGCACGGCACACGAGGGGGTGGGTGGCCAGCACCACGCCCGACCACCTCCCCGGCGGTAACGTTTACGCACCAGGTACTCGTTGTTGAGGCCCAGGACCGGTTCAGATAATCACCGAATCGAACTTGTGACAACGGGTTTCGTAGCGCAGCGTGCTAACCGCCATGCTACCTCTCCCCATGCACGCACGCACACACATGTAAACACAGACCGAGGAATCTGTTAATAATGACCTGTATTAGCATCGGTCAACACACGTCTGGGAGGCTCAAACAGGATGCTCGACCCAGACACATGGGGGGCTGGCAGCGGCCATCCCTGTCAGCCCCGCCTACTTTCGCATAGCCCCGCCTACTCAACGGCTAGCACTGCCCGCTGTGTGGCCTGGTGTTGTCGATGGCCCCACCCTATGCTCATAGGTCCCGCCCACTACATTGGTAGCCCCGCCCATTGTGCCCGCAACAGAAGTTGAGCATGGGAATTGTGTGTTTTTTTTACTGAGCGATAAAAATTTAGATTTTCGCAAAAAACTTTGGGATGCTGAATGGTTGAACCCAGGCTGCCGGCAGTGCTGGCTGAGTGTCTCTGACACGGCCATAATTAACCTCTTTGAGAGTTGAACCCAGGCTAACAGCAGTGCTGGATTTCTTTCTCCGACACGGCCATTAAGAACTTTGAGAGTTGAACCCAGGCTGTCAGCAGTGCTGGCTCAGTGTCTCTGACACGGCCATTCTCATGAACCTCCCCGACAGCCCAACTTGGCCACTTCAGGGGCAATGCGCGAACCGCCGGCGTTGACGGCCGGCTATTTCAGGCCGAGCGAACCTACGCGCGCACCGGGGTGGAGGGTCTTGACGGCCACGTGGTAGCGCTCCTGGTAGACGCCCTTCCACACCTCGCCACTCTGGCCCTTGCCGAGTGTCCGCACGCGATGCAGGTGTGAGGGGTTCACCTCCCAGCACTCGGCCCACTTGGGGTGCGGAGACATCACGTCGGACTGCACCTCCTGAGGCCAACATGGTCGTCAATGTCGTCAACGTCAACGTCGTCATCAACATCGTCATCGACTTCGTCAACAACATCATCGCTATCAACGTCGTCATCAACATCGTCATCAATGTCGTCGTCGTCGTCAATGTCGTCATCAACATCGTCATCAACTTCGTCAACAACATCATCGCTATCAACATCGTCATCAACTTCGTACTCAACATTGTCATCAACTTCGTCAACAACATCATCACTATCAACATCGTTATCAACTTCGTCAACAACATCATCACTATCAACATCGTCATCAACTTCGTACTCAACATTGTCATCAACTTCGTAAACAACATCATCACTATCAACATCGTCATCAACTTCGTCAACAACATCATCACTATCAACATCGTCAGCAACTTCGTCAACAACATCATCACTATCAACATCGTCATCAACTTCGTCACCAACATCATCGCTATCAACATCGTCCTCAACATCGTCATCAACTTCGTAGTCAACATTGTCCTCAATTTCATCAACAACATCATCACTATTAACATCGTTATCAACTTCGTCAACAACAACATCATCAATATCGTCCTCAACATTATTCGTCAACATCGTCATCAACATCGTCAACAACATCATCGCTATCAACATTGTCATCAACTTCGTAGTCAACATCGTCATCAACTTCATCAACAACATCATAACTATCAATATCGTCATCAACTTCGTCAACAACAACATCATCAATATCGTCCTCAACATGGTCGTCAACATCGTCATCAACATCGTCAACAACATCGTTATCAACATTCTCATCAGCATCCTCAAAATTGATACCTGTCAACCCCTAACAGTGGCTATCTTATTCACAGACCAATTCAGACATTATCAGTCACCCCGTGCCATTTTACATTTCAACGTTCATCCTACAAAGTCCCATCACAAGGGAGGAACACAAACAAATAGACAAAAATAGCTTTTTCCCCGTATTGATGACGGCCGTACGCCGTATGGATCTGCAAACTCAATTTCCCCGTACAAGAATACGGGCTATAAGCCGTGTGGGTTTACAGCTGTGAAAATCGTCCTCAACATCACCATCATCACCGCAGTGTCATCGTCACTGTAATCGCCATCGTCATACCGTGGCACGGTGACGCCATGGGCAGGCGTGCGCATGGCCCTTGAACTCATTACCTCGGCCCTAGAAGGCTTATTTACGATTGAGCAAATTGTGTTGTTGGTGATGCTGCTGCGTTCGCAGTGGTGCGTTGCCCGAAACGTTGCCTATTCTGCTTTATTTTAAGGCCACACACAAACACCGTGTGGGGGATGTGTGGGAGATGGCTGCTGTTGCTACTGCTGCTACTGCTACTTTTCCTGCTACTGCTGCGACAACTACCACGACTGCTACTTCTGTTGCTGCTACTGCTGCTACTACTTCTGCTACTACTTCCGATGCTACTACTACTTCGACTGTTGTTGCTGCTACTCGTGGTGCTAATGCTGCTACGACTAAATGCTGCTTCTACTGCTGCTGCTACTGCTGCTTCTACTAGTACTGCTTACTCCCGCTGCTGCTCCTCCTGCTGCTACTCCTGCTGCTGCTACTCCTGCTTCTACTAGGACTGCCCTCTTACTCCTGCTGCTGCTACTCCCGCTTCTACTAGGACTGCTCTCTTACTCCTGCTGCTGTTGCTGCTACTCCTCCTGCTGCTACTCCTGCTTCTACTAGGACTGCTCCATTACTCCTGCTGCTCCTGCTGCTACTCCTGCTGCTACTAGGACTGCTCTCTTACTCCTGCTCCTGCTGCTACTCCTGCTGCTGCTGCTCATGCTGCTGCTCCTGCTGCTGCTGCTCCTCCTGCTGCTGCTACTCCTGCTGCTACGAGGACTGCTCTCTTACTCCTCCTGCTGCTGCTGCTACTCCTGCTGCTACTCCTCCTGCTGCTGCTCCTGCTTCTACTAGGACTGCTCTCTTACTCCTGCTGCTCCTCCTGCTGCTCCTCCTGCTGCTACTCCTGCTGCTGCTACTCCTGCTGCTGCTACTCCTGCTGCTCCTGCTGCTACTCCTGCTGCTGCTACTACTGCTGCTACTAGAACTGCTCTCTTACTACTGCTGCTGCTACTCCTCCTGCTGCTACTCCTGCTACTGTTACTCCTGCTGCTGCTACTCCTGCTTCTACTCCTGCTTCTACTAGGACTGCTCTCTTACTCCTGCTGCTGCTCCTGCTGCTTCTGCTGCTACCTCGGCTCCTAGCTTCTCTCCCCCCCAGCACCCCCCCCCCCCTCTGCTTTGCTTGCCAGCCGCCGTGACCTTGGCGCAGGGCTGCGTGAGCACGGGCAGCTGCCTGCCGTCGCGCGCGTGGTAGTGCAGCAGCAGCTCATGCACGCTGGCGTACGCCTTGCCGCGCTTGATGTAGAAGCCCTCGTCCGAGCGGTGCACGCGGTAGTTCTTCACCTCGCCGGGCGCCACCAGCACTGCGTGGGGTCACGCAACGCGGGGGGTGTCGTCATCGCCATCACAACAATGGCTGCGCTCGTCATCGTCGACGTCACAATGAGAGCCACGAGGGCCCGCGAGTTGTCATCGCGGTCACCGGGGGTGGGGGGGGGGGGGAGCTTTCATCGGGGTTGTTGTTGGTTCGAGCGGTCGTCGTCGTCATCGCGAGTTATTCAATCAGCCGTCATCATTAGGAACAGCAGCCGTGCTGTGATAATTACAATAATTATTATATTTCGTCTGGAACACACGAGAGAGGGGCCATCCATTTCGGAGGTACGCAAAGATCTGTCAAAACGTGATCTCTCCTCCCCCCCCTCCCTGTAGGCACGCGGACTTTTTACCCCCCCCCCACCACCACCACCTGTGTACGTAGCCTGACGTACCCCCCCCCCCATCCCCCCGAATCCTATAGAACGGCCGATATTTAATCCACGCAGAAACGATCAAGGATTATTAATATTCACGTGTTCACACAAACAGAGAAGTCCACCGCCGGACTGTCTAACTCATTTGAAGGGCAATGTAGACAAATTATTATCGAGGCTTCACCCCCCCCCCCCCCCCCCGGTTCCTATGCGTACATTGTCAGTAGACCCCCCACACGCAAGCTACGCATTTGGGTTAACCTCCCTCGCCCCTCTTCATGCGTACGAGCTACATGGATGGCCCCTGACAGAGATCCCCCGTATAGCCTTGACATACTTTTGGAGCAAGTGCTGTTGACGAGCAAAGAATGAAAGCTGGCACGGCACACGCCTTTGTCTCCCTAGTGACGATGTTTACACACCGCATCTGGTACTCATTTGAGGCTGAATCGATCTAGGGGAGGCCCAGGACCGGTTCAGATAATCGTCGCTGATGTTGGCTGTGGGTGGGAATCGAACTCGTGTCACCGATTTCGTAGCGCTGTGCGTGCCAACCACTGTGCCAACACTCACCACAAACAGAGTGTACACACACACACAGTCACCAGTGTGTACACACACACAGTCACACTCACCAGTGTGTACACACACAGTCACACTCACCAGTGTATACACACAGTCACACTCACCAGTGTGTACACACACACACACACAGTCACACTCACCAGACAGAGTGTACACACACACACAGTCACACTCACCAGTGTATACACACACGCACAGTCACACTCACCAGTGCATATACACACACACAGTCACACTCACCAGTGTGTACACACACACAGTCACACTCACCAGACAGAGTGTACACACACACACACACAGTCACACTCACCAGACAGTGTGTACACACACATTCACACTCACCAGACAGAGTGTACACACACACAGTCACACTCACCAGACAGAGTGTACACACACAGTCACACTCACTAGACAGAGTGTACACACACAGTCACACTCACCAGACAGAGTGTACACACACAGTCACACTCACCAGACAGAGTGTACACACACAGTCACACTCACCAGACAGAGTGTACACACACACACACAGTCACACTCACCAGACAGAGTGTACACACACACACAGTCACACTCACCAGACAGAGTACACACACAGTCACACTCACCCGACAGAGTGTACACGTGCGTGTGCTCTTGACCCACGCCCCCGTCTCGAACCAGGAAGGTTCCCACGGGGTTCCCCAGCAGCCGCGAGCTGCTCTCGAACCGAGACAGCGACCCGAAGTACCAACTGCACGCACAGAGACACAAGACGACCCCCCACCCGTGTCGCCTTTAATAGACTGTAGGGGCAAGTGCTGTTAGCGAGTTTCAGCACCTATGAAGGCCGGACACAGCACCACGTCCGGCCGCCTTTGTCTTCCTCAGTGCTGATGTTTAATGGACACCGCACCAGGTACTGGACTCATTTTAGGGCGGAGTCGACCTGGGGGAAGGGAGGCCCTGGACCAGTTCGGAAATCAATGACGATGATGATTCTGCTGATGATGCAAATTCTACTGCGGCTCATGACGATGGCGCTACTGCTAATAATGTTGTTGCTGCTGGTGAGGACGGTGATGGTACCGCTGATGCTGATGGTGATGGTGCTGCTGATGATGATGCTGACATTGCCACCGCCACGAGGATTTGACAGCTCACTCGTGCGCCTCCACGCTTCCTATCTGTGGTGATGATTCTGCTGCTGATGATGATGCTGATGATGATGTCCCACCAACTCCTGCGCCTTCCTATCTATGGCGATTCTGGCGATGATCATGATGATGATAATTCTGCTGCTGGTTATTCTGCTGATTATGATATGCCGCCGCCACCACAACCACCACCAGCACGATTTAAAGCTCCGCAAAACTCATTCCTGCGCCTCCACGCTATGATGATGATGATTCTGCAGCCGATGATGCTCGTGCAGCTGATGGTGATACTCATGCTGCTGATGATGACAACAATAATTCTGCTGCTGCTGTTGCTGCTGATGATGACGGTACTCAGGATGATGATGATGATTATGACGACGACGTTTCACACCAACTTTCCACGCTTCCTATCTCAGCCGATGACAACAACACTAATGCTGATGATGACGGTAAGATACTCATGCTGATGATGATGATGACAATAATAATTCTGCTGCTGCTGTTGCTGCTGATGATGACGGTACTCAGGATGATGATGATGATTATGACGACGACGTTTCACACCAACTTTCCACGCTTCCTATCTCAGCCGATGACAACAACACTAATGCTGATGATGACGGTAAGATACTCATGCTGATGATGATGATGACAATAATAATTCTGCTGCTGCTGTTGCTGCTGATGATGACGGTACTCAGGATGATGATGATGATTGTGACGACGACGTTTTCACACCAACTTTCCACGCTTCCTATCTCAGCCGATGACAACAACACTAATGCTGATGATGACGGTAAGATACTCATGCTGATGATGATGATGACAATAATAATTCTGCTGCTGCTGTTGCTGCTGATGATGACGGTACTCAGGATGATGATGATGATTGTGACGACGACGTTTTCACACCAACTTTCCACGCTTCCTATCTCAGCCGATGACAACAACAACTCATGCTGATGATGACGGTAAGATACTCATGCTGACGACGACGACGATGACGATTCCACGCCACCAACTCACTCCTGCGCCTCCACGCTGTCGACGGGAGCCACGAGCGACGCGGGCAGGAAGCCCTCTCGCTGCGTCGGGGCGGCCCTCCGCTCCATCTCCCCGCCGTCGCCTCCCGCCCTGCACCACCACCACCCGGCCGCGACGTCGCAGTCCAGGACCTCGACCGCGGCGCCCTCGGCCACGCTCAGGACGTTCGACTCGGGCGACTCGAAGGCTCGGAGCGCCACGTAGCGGCGGCGCTCGGGCAAGGGCGGCGGCGGCAGCGGCGGCGGCGTCGGTGACCGTGCAGGCGCAGGGGAGTGTTCGTAGATGTTGTCAAAGGTTTCGTTGTGGTGGACCTGCTTCTTCCCCGGCGCGGGGAACCTCTCGCTGCTCTTCTTGTCCTCGCACGCGGCGCCGTCTCCCTCCGACCGCCTCGTCTCGCCTCTCCCCTTGCTACCCGAGCAGCAGCAGCAGCAGATGGAGCAGATGGAGCAGAGGGAGCAGATGGAGCAGATGGAGCAGAGGGAGCAGCATTTGGCCCCCATGGCGAGCCCGGCGCGTTGAGTTTGGCCAGTGGCTGAGTGAGATTGGCGAGTTATGGTCCTGTAATTGGTTCGTTGTGTTCGTGAGAGTGACTGGTGGCTGAGTGAGATTGGCGAGTTATGGTCCTGAAATGTGGTTCGTTGTGTTCGTGAGAGTGACTAATAGCTGCGTGAGATTGGCGAGTTATGATCCTGAAATGTGGTTCGTTGTGTTCGTGAGAGTGACTAATAGCTGCGTGAGATTGGCGAGTTATGGTCCTGAAATTGGTTCGTTGTGTTCGTGAGAGTGACTAATAGCTGCGTGAGATTGGCGAGTTATGATCCTGAAATTGGTTCGTTGTGTTCGTGAGAGTGACTAATAGCTGAGTGAGATTGGCGAGTTATGATGCTGAAATTGCTTCGTTGTGTTCGAGAGAGTTTACTAACAGCTGAGTGAGATTCTTCTTAGAGGTTGCGTGCGTGAGAAGAGAAGTGATTATCACGGTTGGCTCCAAACAAAAATTGCTTGCATATCAAAGTGGAGATGTTCACGGCCGTCAAATTGCGTGAGATGTGACGACGTTCACACCCGCGAGTCTCGGCGTGAGAGGCGAGTGGTCGCACCCCCGGGTCGCGGAGGGGATTTGAGGAGGTGTGGTGAAGATCCAGTTGAGAAGATGACAATTTTTTTTGTTATTGGCGGGAAAAATGTCACCTGGAAATTAAAGAACAAATAAAATTAAATTAAACATACAGGACTGCAGGTTACAGGACAGGAGGTGTGGTGAAGATCCAGTTGAGAAGGTGAGAAAAGAACATTTATTGGCGGGAAAAATGTCACCTGGAAATTAACGAACACATAAAATAAAATTAAACATACAGGACTGCATTCAACGGAGCAACACAAAGATATCCTTTGGTTTCGATTTAAAGCTTTCGTGACTGCAATGATTCATCTTCTTTGGTTCTTTCGGTAAAGTCACATAGAATGAGAATAAAATAATAAATTGATAAGGTGTATTAGATAGACAGGTGAGATGTAGGTGTATTAGATAGACAGGTGAGATGTAGGTGTATTAGCTAGACAGGTGAGATGTAGGTGTATTAGCTAGACAGGTAAGATGTAGGTGTATTAGTTAGACAGGTGAGATGTAGATGTATTAGCTAGACAGGTGAGATGTAGATGTATTAGTTAGACAGGTGAGATGTAGGTGTATTAGCTCAACAGGTGAGATGTAGGTGTATTAGTTAGACAGGTGAGATGTAGGTGTATTAGCTAGACAGGTGAGATGTAGGTGTATTAGCTCGACAGGTGAGATGTAGGTGTATTAGACAGGTGAGATGTAGGTGTATTAGCTAGACAGGTGAGATGTAGGTGTATTAGCTAGACAGGTGAGATGTAGGTGTATTAGCTAGACAGGTGAGATGTAGATGTATTAGCTCGACAGGTGAGATGTAGGTGTATTAGCTAGACAGGTGAGATGTAGGTGTATTAGCTAGACAAGTGAGATGTAGGTGTATTAGCTCGACAGGTGAGATGTATACACTACACAGGTGAGGTTGCGTCTATTGGCTTATCAGAGAACAATACCTGTACACACCTGTTGCAATGGTCTGTGCTGTCTTCTCGCCTGCGTCTCTCTTGAGCCTGGGTGAGAGGGGGGTGGGTTAAAAGCGCATGGGATGTGGGGAGGCGGGGAGTGGGCCGTGGGATGGGCGTTCAGGTGAGGCAGGTATTGGTCACTGGATAGATTCTGCATGTGTAGTGTTTATAATGACGAATAAACTTCTTATGAGGCACACTCTGTTTATTGTAATACTTCTCTTACACAGTCCTTTACACACAGAGGGGTATACGGTCCCCTCACCCTATACCCTAAGAAGGTACAGCCTCCGGACTTAGCGGGACCTACACACAGGTCTCTTGATACCCTAAGGAGGTACAGCCTGCGGACTTGGCGTGACCTACACACAGGTCTCTTGATACCCTAAGGAGGTACAGCCTCCTGTCTTGGCGGGACTTACTCACACGTCTACCGCTATCCTAGAGTCCTCCGGCTGGGACCTAGGGGAGGCTATATGACCCACCGCTGGCCCGGTGGGTCTTGACCACTGGATGCACCGAGCCTTAGCCCTCAGAAGGGCTGGAAGGCTGGGTCCAGGGTCCTGGCTATCTTCAGCCCGGGCTTCGGTCTTCGTGTAGGGAGAGAACTCCCCGTGCTCTGCGTGGTCACCCTTCTTATACCCGTTTGTGGCCAGGTCTAACCAATCACACATTTCCACGTGGAACTGTCTGATTGGTTCTTACCAAACTGTGGCTACGTTCCACTTCACCTCGTCTGACCCCAACCGTTATGTACACAGAGGTAACGCTGCAATGCCCCTTTGATACCTAGTGGCAATGCAGGTTACCGAACAGTGAGTAGTTAACACCTCTACACGTGTAGTGGGCTTATTGACGTCGGAGACTGTTCATTGGAGGCAACACGTATTTATTACAGACGCTTCAATTACAGTGGCGAATCTGATACTTGAAGAGTTAACGGCCTCTTCACCCGTACTCTATAGAGGGAACGTTCCCCGAGCTTTAGCCCACGCTAGCTCCCTGGTTCCCTCTATCCTGGTCCTCTCTCAGGAGGCTGTCTGACCTGGCCCAGCTTCGGCGCAGGTCCCGAACACCAGCCCCACGAGTCCGGCCCTCAGAAGGACAGCGGCCCTCGTGGCTCTGGTGTCGCACACCCTGGCTTGCTTTGCCCGGCCCTCGAAAGGACAGCGGGCCAAAGGAAGTTCCAGGGTCTGGCTAGTTGATCTTCTTTCTTCACTGGCTCTTCATCTTGCTTGAGTCGAACTGCCTCTCAGCTCTCCGGGTCCCACCTTTTATACTGTCCCTCACTGAGAGGCGGGGCTGGGAGGGATCACAGCGTTCCCCACAGCCCCCCAGGGTGGTGGCCGTAGCGGACGTGTTTGTGGCCACCCCCCTCCAACCGCGTGTCACCCTCCCGTAACACCTCTACACATGCATGAGTGTCTGTTTGTGTGTGTGTGCATGGGGAGCGGTAGTTTCGCGGTTAGCTCGCTGCGTTACGAACCTGGCCATCCGGGTTCGATTCCCGCTCACGGCCAACACTGGGGACGATTGTTTGAACCGGTCCTGGGCATCTCCTAGGTCGACTCAGCCTTAAATGAGAACCCGGTGCGATGTGTAAACATCGCCAATAGGGAGACAAAGGCGGCCGGGTGTGGTGTTGGCCACCCACCTCCTCGTGTGCCGTGCCGGCCTTTATAGGTGCTCGCTAACAGCACTTCCCCCTACAGTCTGTTAGGCTATACGCGGGATCTATGTGTACATGTGTGTACGCCAAAAACAACCCCCTACCTCCTCATGGTACCAGGTGGTAACGCTGTGGTGGGCAGTGCTGTGGGGGGAAGGTCAATTGAGATTGGCCTTTCCACTCATGGCGTTTGTAACCACCACAGCGGCCAAACTGGGGCTCTGGACGGGTGCGAGGGGCTGGTAATCCCTCCACCTTCAATTAATTGCCACAAAACCACGACGGAAAATAATAATTAAAAAGCTTGGCCGGAGGCCCCAGGGAGACAGGCGTCTATGACGTCTCCTGGCCAAACCCCATTTGGCGGAGCCTGGAGACTGAATCCTTACCCTCAGGGTTCCTCCAGAAACAGCAAAAAACCACTACGTGTGGCCACGTGGAATGTTCGAACACTCACTGCGGAGGAGAGGCTGCCACTCCTCTGTCGGGAGCTGGACCGGTACCGCCTGGATATCTGTGGTATTCAGGAGGTCCGGTGGACTGGCTCTGGCTCCTGCCACCATGAGGGGTGGACAGTCCTCTTCTCGGGGCAGGAGACTGCCAAACAACAGGGAGTGGCTCTTCTTCTGAATAAAAGAATGAAGGGGGCGTGGAAGCGTGGCGGTGAGGTATGGGACGCTGTAAGCCGAAGGCTACTTTGGGCTCACCTTCCCATCAACCAGAGGCGAGGAGTGGTGGTCGTGGTTACTTATGCCCCCACCGAAGACGAACATCCGTGGAGGGATGCAGGCAAGGCCGATGAGTCACATGCCTTCTATGATCTGTCACAGGTGCTGGCTAAAGTGGCCCCTCGGGATAGAGTCATCTTGTTGGGTGACTTCATTGCCCGAGTTGGTCATGAAGCTGGCACCTGGTCTGGAGTGATTGAAAGGCATGGGCCAGATCAGATCAATAACAACGGCAGGAGGCAGCTAGATTTTTGTGCAGCCCATGGGCTTGTAATTACCAACACGCTGTTCCGACATTGGCGCATCCACACAACATCAAGGATGCATGCCGAGTCCAAGCAAGAACATCTGCTGGACTACATAGTGACGGAACAACGGACACCAGGACCTACCGTGGAGCTGATCTGCCAACTGACCATCGACTTGTCCTCTGTAAGATGCGCCTGCCTATGATGCCATCAGTAGGCCTGGGCTCTGGGTTGTTCTTCATGCTTTCGGAGTCCCTGACACTCTGCTCACGATCATTAAGGACCATCATGATGGTGAGCGGGCCTGGGTAAAACTACGTGGCTGGGAGTCGGAGCCATTCCCTGTACACCTTGGGGTGCGACAGGGTTGTCCTCTGGCTCCCACATTATTTAACATCTTTTTCGACCACGTAGGTCGTGAAGCCTTCAATAGCCATTAAGAGGTGGGGACTTACCATCAGCCCCACCAAAACTAAGCACCTGCCTGGATATTTTGTACCATCGGAGACTCCACCCCCACAACTCCCAATTGGTGATAGGGCAGTTGTAGAGAGAGTGGAGAGTTTCCTATACCTGGGCAGTGTGGTCATGACCGGCTCCGGTTTAACAGCAGAGGTCTCACTCCGAATCAGTCGAGCGGCATTATCTTTTCATCGGTTGCGTAACGCTGTGTGGAATCTACCTGGTCTGTCACTCCGAACGAAGCTTCAGGTCTTCTCCGCCACAGTCATTCTTTCCCTATGCTTGCGAAACGTGGACCCCCCTAACGGAGCATC